GGCAAAGGGGATACAGAAATGACAAGACATACATCCTGTTTGAATTTAAGAATCTTCTTGTATAACAGAGAAGGCAGCCAATTAAGGAAGGTGTTGTAGCAGTGTGATGAGTGCTATGGTAGGGCAAATAGAGAGCCCCCTTAGGGGATCCACAGCAGAGAGGCTAAGCTGGTCTAGGAATCAAAGAAGTAAATAACTAGAACCATATATAGTATGCGTGACCCAATACAGCCCCCAGAGGAGGCTGTGCACCCTCCTTAACAAGTTTGTTAACAAGTTGGTTAACAGTCCTTGAAGTCAGAGGACCCAGGCTACAGTCCCATTTTCTAGTTGTGTGAACTCAGACAAGTACTGAATCTCTCAAAACTGAAGTCTGACCCCCAGAACAAGTCAGGGCCCTTATTATGTACTCTTGTGTCACCCTACATTTTATCTCCATATGATTTTGCTCCTTTATAATCATATATTACTGTGTCCTCATTTTATTATCGTCTATCTCCACAAATACAATATGAGCTCCATGAGGGGTAGGACTCTGTTTTTTTCTGCCGTGGTATCCACAGTGGCTCAACAGGTGCCTGATACAAAAAAGTGCTCAAATGCATATAGTGGAATGAATTAATTAATGAAGGAGAGAGACACTTTCAACTAAGGAGTATTCTTAAAGCCCCTCCTGGGAGAGGAGAAAAAAAGGCCTATCCAGTGAAGCACCAACTCCCCCTGCCTGTCTTCCCTATGCCTGACCTCCAGCGAGACCTTTAGAGCACAATTCGACACCATCCTCAGGCCCCAAAGGTGAGGCAGAGATGCAGCCTTAGGCCCTGTCTGACTCTGAAGGCGTATGGCTCCAAGATTGCAGTGGACATCCATCAAGTTCCCAGCCTTGTGCTGAGTCCTGCAGGGGTCAGGCACCTGTAGTCTGAATGGGATGCTCTCATGGTGTCTCAAAGGAAGAGCAAAGGTTTTGTTCTGGTTCCTCAACACTTCTTACACATAATCCAGACTCAGAACTAAGGAACCGGGTTCAGGCATCCTCCTAAGAGTCCTACAAGTTTTTCTCTGGCTTAGGCTTTCACTCTCCTCTCACCATGAGCTGCCTCTATAAAGGCAATGAAAGGAAATGGGTCTGTGTCCAGATAGTCTTCCATAAAATCAGGAACTCCACCTGCCAGTTACCAATAAGGGATACTTTCTTCAATCTAGGTGATCTTTCAGTTTTCAGGTTTCTAAGAAGCCTGAAGGAAAGCTGCACTTGTCAAGAAAATGGAAATAGATTGAAGACATGGAAGAAGTTGGACTAAAAGAATGGAGATGCTATTCTTTAGCTCTCTTTCTACAAATGGGCTATTTATAAGTCTGCTGATCTTTAGGACATGACCACCATAGACAAGAATCAGTGTAACCAGTGTTATATTATCATGGAAGCCCCAAGGAAGAGGGAGCTAATTATCACTGGGGAACAAGCACAGCTCAGAAAGGTTTCATAGCAAAGTGAAATACAGAGAATAGGCTTAAAAATGCATTTCAATGAGAGAGCAAAGCAGATGCTGACAGATGGAAGACACTGGAACTCAGATTCACCCAAAGTCAACTACATGTGAAGCATGGAGTCAAGGTTAGTTTTGTTGGCCTGCCCCTATTGGCTGCTCCCATCACTGATATGGAGAAATGTCATTGAGAGACAGTGGGGTGGAAGGAAGCAGGATGATGATGATAAGGTAAGGAAGGCAGAGGCAGATTGTGGGAGGCTTTGGATGCCCTGCATAAGAGACTGGATACCATCTTGTAGGAATGTGGAGACACTGGAGTGTTTTAAGCCAGAGAATGACTCTGTGTCCCAGAGCTCCACCTTGATGGTGGCATGGACATTCAAGATGGTAGCTGAGTAGAGGCATTGGAAGATCACCATAATCAGGCAAGAGGTCACAAGGGGTGCTCATTTGGGCAGCACACATACTGAAATTAGAATCATACAGAGAAGATTAGTATGGCCCTTGCATGAGTATAACATGAACATTCATTAAGCCTTCTATACTTTTAATGGGCATGGAGATTCACTTAGGGAAGATGATAAATTCTGGAGATGGAGGATGGTGATGGTTATACAATGATGTGAATGTACTTCATGCCACCACACTGTGAACTTAAAAATGGCTAAACTGGTAAATTCTGCTATGTTTATTTTACCACAATAAAAAAAGTTGTCAGAGTACCTGAGTGACTCAGTTGGTTAAGCATCCAACTCTTGATTTCAGCTAAAGTCATGATCCCAGGGTCATGGGATCAAGCCCTGAGTTGGACTCTATGCTGACAGTGCAGAAGTGCAGAACCTGCTTGGGATTCACAGTTTCCCTCTCTCTCTCTCTCTCTCTCTGTCCCTCCCGTGTGTGAGTTTGTTCAGTCTCTCTCTCTCAAAATAAATAAACATTTTTTTTTTAAATTGTCGAAGTATAAAAAAAGAGGTTGGAAGGATCTGGATTGATGTTGAGGAGTAGCAAAGGAGAGGAAGGAACAAATCATGGAGACATTTTGAATGGAAAGTCCACAGAACTTGCTGATGAAAGAAATGAGGAGGGAGAAGGAGACAAATATAATTCAGAGATTTCTCTGATGTATGACTGCTCTCCTCTGCTCTGAGAAGTGGCCTGATTTGGGTAATAAAGGGACACCCTACTTATTAGGAGCTGTTTTCCACTTGCCTGATTGGTCCTATGTAGATTAGGTGGGGATGACTTAGTCTTAAACCGCTAACACATAAGACCTTCCTTAATTTTCCTTTGTGTATATGGCAGGTGGTCAATGAATATTTGAATTATTAATTGACTTAGCACTGAGGTTGCAATTGTAATACATAATTAATGTTTCACAGTGGTTGTAACCTTTCCTTATATTTCATTTCCTGGGGAAAAAGTCTCCTTGCTATAACAAATGCCCAACTTAGGGTAAAGAATAGACTCACAAGTAATTTTTTTCTCATTTCTTCTTTGAAGTAGACTTACAAATTCCAGAAAAATCCCTGGACAGGTAGATGAGAAGGAGTGGGGATGCTCGAAAAAGGTCCCAAGCTCACCTGGAGCATTCAGAGGAGTTCAGTGAGCAAGAATAGGAAAAGCAATAAGGAGCAGAAGGTTTTAACACAGTCATTAATTAAGTTATATTGTAAAGATCACTAAAAACAATTAGTGCTTTGTCAGCTACTGCAGACCAGAGCTCCGATTTTGTTTTAACCAGTGATTCTCAGGATGGAAATTTGTGCAGTTCTAAAATAAAGCAATGCTTGACACCTGGGTGGCTCAGTTGCTTAAGCATCTGACTTCGGCTCAGGTTCAGCTCTCACAGTTCATGAGTTCGAGCCCCACGTCAGGGTCTGTTCTGACAGCTCAGAGCCTGGAGCCTGTTTCAGATTCTGTGTCTCCCTCTCTCTCTGCCCCTCCCCCACTTGAATTCCGTCTCTCTCTCTCTCTCTCTCTCTCAAAAATAAACATTTAAGAAGATTTAAATATAAAATAAAATAAAACAAAATAAAGCAATGCTTTGTCCCAAAGTTTTTGTTGAGTTTCTTAATATATTAGAAACAAAAAATAACTGATTACAGTAAAAATTTTTATATTCATTAAAGGAGACAAAAGATACAAAATTTGCTGATGCTTTTGAGTCACTTACACTTTGCTTTCCTGTTAGGTATTGATTATATCATGCGAAAGTAGATGTGATATTATGTGAAAAATGGAAAAGAAAGAGGGGAAAGATTGATTATTGATTGAGTCTCTGCTAATTTCCAAGCACTGTGCTAGGCATTTTCAATGTTGTCACATTTGATCCCAAAAATCTCATAAGAAGTTTGCATTATTAACTGCATTTTAGTGTCAACAGAGTGTGTTAGTTGGTACGGGCTGCTGTAACAACAGACAGACTGACTAGGTGGCTTGTAAACAACTGAACTTTACTTCTCACAGTGCTGGAGGCTGGAAGTCCAAGATCAGGGTGCCAGCACTGTCAGATTCCGGTGACAACCTTCTTCCACGTGGCAGACATCTTGTTGTGTCCTCACATGGCAGAAGGGGCTAGGGAGCTCTGTGGGGTCTCTTTGATAAGACCACTAATCTCATCCATGAAGTCTCCACCCTCATGACCTAATCACTTCCCAAAGGCTCTACCTCCTAATACTATCACTGTGGTCGTTAAAATTTCAACATATAAATTTGGGGGTGGAGATACATTCAGCCTCTATCACTCAGTGTATTGCTTATCTATTGCTGGGTTACTCAATGACTCAAAACAACATATATGTATTAGCTCCAGTGTCTATGGGTCAGGAGTCTGGACATGGCTTAACTGGACATGTCATCAAGGTGTCTGCCAGGGCTGGGATATCATCAGAGGCTCAACTGGAGAAGGATCTTCTTTCAAGCTCTCCTGGGTTCTTGGCAGAATTAATTTTCTGGAGGTGTAGGACTCATGGCAGCAACAGAGAGAGACACTAGCAAGACAGGCACTACGCTTATGTGCAATCACAGACATTATCACCTTCGGCCCACTGCACGGATTAGAAGTAAGTCACAGTTCTCACCACACTCAAGGGGAGGGGATCTCACAAAGGCATGAACACCAGAGACAGGAATCATGGGGCCACATTAAAGAGTGTCTAAGGTCAAGGTCATACAACCAGCAAGTAGCAGTGCTGGTTACAAACATAAATCTTTCTGACTCCAAACCCTGTGTTTGGATTCTAATGTCAGCTATTCTTCAGCTAGATCTCTAACCACCTGAGTTATCTTGAGAAACCATTTCACTTCACCAAGTCCTAGCGTCCTCAGTTAAAAAAAGAGGTAGCTGTCATCTTCTAGGATTCTATAATCAGCAAGGACAGGGACCAGGCATGGTGTAGAGACCCCTCCCTCCATACCTCACACTCCGGGACCTGGGAGTCCTCCTGTCTCTGTGTCTTCACTGTAGGAACCCACCAGCCATGTTAATATTACCTCTGCTCCTTTCCACAGTGTCATCTATGCCATTGTGATCAGAACCATTTGGATTAAGAGCAAAGCCCACGAGACTGTGATCTCCAACTGCTCCGGTAAGTCTCTAATCAGAATTACCCAACTCTTGGGTAATTTTGCTTCTGCAGTGTTTTTTGTTTGTCTGTTTGTTTTGTTTTTTTGTTTTTTTCTGGCAAATATGAGCTTGCGCTTTGCCTGAATAAAATAAGCCTGCATTATTCTATCAGGATTCAACCAGCAGAGTAGATCCACCAAAGGCTCTCCCAGTAGGTACTGTCTCTTCCAGGTGGCTTCCCTGAAAACTCAAAGAAGGAAGGAAGGGGGGACTTTGGGGGCCATGATCCAAAGCCCCCCCCCCCCAGTTTCTTAGGCCTGGAAAAAAGGAGCACCCTGGAGGACACTGGGGTGAAAAGACAGCTGTCCAAGGAGCACACATTTGGTGAAACATGAGGATAGACATTTCTATCTGACTTAAATTTACAGATGGAGAAAACTGCTGTCTATCCACAGAACAATCCTGGACCCTAAGCTAGGCAAAAAATGGCCAATTTCACCTCAGAATGAGCCTGAGACCACCTGCTACAGCCCTTCCCAGATCCTGCTGCAGTAAACCTTGATGCAGAACACCTCCCCCATGGCAGGCACCGGGACCTGAAGGCCTAGCCTGCCTCCCAAGCAAATATTACTGGACCCGATGGAGACCAACCTGGAGAGAACTCAGTGAACCAAGTTCACTTTGCCAGAAAGAGAGGGGCAAGGGCTCCTGGTTTTCCATTTATTATAATGCAACTAGTTCTCTCCCCAGGCTCCCCACCTCCTCCCGTTCCTTGTACACACACGCATCCCTTCACACACCCAGTCTGTCACACACACACTTATGCACTCATATGCACTCACATCTACATACTCACCCACATGCACTCACGCAAGGACAGCAAGCTAGAACGCAGCTACGTGGACTATGAAGAGTTGGTTTCTGTTCTAGATGTGCCACTAAGAGTTGTGCCACCTTGCAATAACCTCTCTGGCCTTCAAGAGGTTAAGATAAGGGGACAGACTAAATGGTCTCTAAGTCTACCTCTTTTCAGACTTTGAGCCAGTACCTTTACTGGACCGAGACCACACTCATCTTTCTCCCTCTTGAAGCTACTTCGTCCAGTGAGAAAGTCACATGGATTCCCAAGTGGGCACTGGTAATCTGTGTCCCTCTCTCTAGAAGAACTGGTAGAGATGTGTAAGTGTTAGTGTCTTCATCTGAATTCAGTTCATTTCTGCTGTGTTCCCCACATGTCAGCGGTGCTACAAAGGACCGGGAATGCCAAATGAGTAAATGGCACGATTCCTGGCTAGAGGAAGCCTGTTCTCGTGCACTGGGTTTCAGCTCTGGCTGCACAAGGGTTTGCCTGGGGAGCTTTTCAAATGCCCCAATACCAGCTACCACTGCCTGAGAAATTCTGATTCACTTTGTTTGGAGGGAGGTCTGGCATCATTACTTTGGAAAAGCTCTTCAGATGATTTTAATGTGCAACCAGGTTTGACAACCTCTCATCCAGTGGGAGACACAGTTATAGGCAACTGACTATATATATATAACTATAAGGTGTGTGCAGGCTGCTTGGAAATTTTCCGCCCATGAAATACCTATCGTTCAGCTCGTGGCTCATTCTGGCCTCTACGCAGATCCTCCACACAGACTCCCTCATGCCAGTCTAGTCTCTGCAGCCTGGTTTTTCTAGAAGAACAAGAGCCGTCGGGAAGACTAAACACAAATGCATTCATTTTATTTATTGTGAGTGGCTTTGGTCAAAAGTCAGAATATTTGTCTGAAAAAGGAAAGGAGGAAGACATCCTTCTTCTATCAGGTATCAGATAAATACATTAAATACTATAACTGTTGAAACAGTTATAGTATTTAATTATTTAATTATTAAGTACTTAATTACAGAAACATGTAAATATCACTTTTTTAAGTATATTAATATATAATAAATAGAATATGCATGTGCATGCACATATAGATGATAGCTAGTTGGATAGATGGATAGATAGGTGATAGATGATTGAAAATGTCAGGAAGGACAAACACTAAATGTTATAGTAACTATCTCTGAGTGGTAGAATTTTATCTTTCCTTCCTTTTTTTCTTCCTTCCTTCCTTCCTCCCTTGCTTATCCAGGGGCTAAAATTTTCCATGATTACATACATTTTATAATATAAAGTAATAGCCCACTGGCCCTTTAGTCTGTATAAACATCCATCATTATGCTAGCTGTGTATATGAGATATTTTTTTAACTGTCAACTCAGCCCCCACAAAAAATTATCCTTTCATGCACTTCTCTGGGTAAACTTTATGCTTGAACCCTGAGAGACCCAATGCTGAGACTGTGTAGATAGATGATAGATAGATAGATAGATAGATAGAGATCTTATACTGATGAATATCTAAACATTCAAAACTTACATTCTCAGTGAATGGGTAATGACCAAGATCAGACATATCTGGATGTATAGGTAGTATCTAGAAGCTACAAGCAATAAGGAAGCTCCCAGAGGCTGATATGAGAGATAGAAAAAGTGCCTCTGTCTGCCCTGAGCTCTCTCCCTTCTGAACCTTCCATGATGCCGGAAATTCAAACCAGTAGAGTCAGTCATTTTTCCTTAAGGTACTCTCTCCAGGAGGACCCATCAGTACATTTGTAGCCTGGATTGAGCAATGTGCATGCACCACACGAGCATATACTGGTCAAGTTGTCACTTTAGAGTGCATGACCCCTGTTTGATGGTGGACAGATCAAGTGTGGTGGGACCAGAGGGGTTTGGAAGGTCCAGAGCTTTGGGTCTAAAGGGGGACAAAGTAAAAAGGGGGATATCTTAGTCTGTTCAGGCTTCCCTAACAAAGTGCTTAAACAACAGAAATTTATTTTATCACAGTTCTAGAGTCCTGGAAGCCCAAGATCAGGTGCCACTTGATTGTGTTCCTGGTAAGAGTTCTCTTCTGGTTTGCAGATGGCTGCCACTTCCTCCCTGCTGTGTCTTCATCTGAGGCAGGAGATGAGAGAGAGGGAGCCCATGCTCTCACCTCTCTTCTTATAAAGGCACAAATCCCATCCTGAGGGCTCCAGGCCTTCATGACCTCATCTAACTCTGATCACCTCCCAGAGGCCCCATCCCTAAATACCATCATGTTGGGAATTAGGGTTTCAACATATGGATTTGGGGAAGACACACACACTTAGTCCATACAGAGAGAGAATTGAGAGAAAAAAAAGAAAAAAAGACACCATGGAAGTAACTGAAGACCAACCAAATGAGAATAGACAAACACTATTTATCCAGAGCTTGCAAAAGAGCCATATGGGTTGCATGGCATGGCTTGCAAAAGAGCCATGACTTACATTTTGGCAGAGACTCAAAAGCCAGTGGTAGAATGGGAAAACTTTATAGTGGAAAAAAAAGGAAGATATCAGGTGTGCCTGGTTGGTGGCTATTGGCCTGGGAAGCTGCAGGCAGAGCGAAGTAGAAGCATGACATCCTGTCTGATTGGTTAGGGGTGTGCATTTGGCTTTCTCTGGTTGGTTTTACGTTGAAAGCAGGGACAAAACCTGAAGAAGCTGCCAGTCATTAATCAAGTGTTGGCTGTTTGGCATAGAGTGTCACAGGTCTTACTGGCCAGCATGCTAGAGATACAGGTCTGACTTGTACATAAGAAGGTGGCTTTCTGGTCTGCCTACTATAGATAATGGACTGGTTTCCTGGCCTGGCAGCTGCAGAGTGTGGGTCAGAGTTCTGTTTTTATATTTGATCTTGCCATGATCCATTTGTTTACTTGGTCTGTCAACACAATCTGACGAGACAGCGGAACAGACAGAATGTCTACTGCCAGTCACTTCGCTAAGTTCTTTCCATGTGTTGTCTTCCGGAATCCTTACACGATGCTGCAAGGGGGCATTATCGTCTCTCTTTTACAAATAGAAGACAGGCGTGCAGGTTAACCCCATGTGATTGACCAGAAAGCCTGTGTGTCTTCCCGCTGTATCAAGCTGCCTCTCAGAGGAAGGACACTGCAAAAGGGAGGTAGTAAATGGCTAAAAAAATGCTCAGGGGTGCCTGGTGGCTCAAAGTGTCCAACTCTTGATCTCAGCTCAGGTTTTGATCTCAGGGTCGTGAGTTCAAGCCCCACACTGGGCTCCACCCTAGGTGTGAAGCCTACCAAAACAAATAAACAAACAAAATAAAAACAAAAACAAAGCGCAGAGTGAAAAAAATACTTTTCCTAATTAAAAAACCCAAGCACATGCTCTGTGGCATGGCTTTTGCCTTCAGAGCGCTATTCCTGTCTTCTCTCCTAAACTGTTTCGTTTTGAAGTATTTAATATCTAAAAGATGGCCGCTACGGGTGCAGGGCTCAATTTTATTTAGGTAGGTGAGGTCTTCCTGTGCTTTCAGATGTAAATCAGGTTGGTTTATCCCTGTCCTGTGATTCTTGCCAGTTCCAGGAGGCTGGTATGTCCTTGACCCCTAAGCTCTCACATTCAACGACTCATCTCATAGGGTTCTTCTGTTCCCTCCGCTCCTGGCCCAGAAAGCATGGAATCCACATCATTTTCCTTGAGTTCATCACTCACAAGAGTAAATACAGCAAATGTTGCCAGAGGTTCGAGGTGATGAAAGATTTCTACATCCCCTCAGCTGCCCCACCCCTTCCCCTTTCTCATTAGGTCTTTCACCATTATGGTTGAGCTCTGTCTCTCTCCAGAATCTCCCATATCTCCCTGCTACTAGATTTTCCAGTCCCTAAATTCTTGGCTTCCCCCGTCTTCCAGTCTTTGAAATAGTACAATGCCTCAAAGTGATCAGCTTTCCCACTGATATACAGTATGCCATTACCCTTCCCCGAAGGTAGAAATGGTGGCAGTCAATTTTTATTCTCTAATACAAGTTTACATCTCCATTACCTCTATTTTCTAGTTGTCCATTATCACCACCATGAGCCCCTTCTGGAATAGGGAGCAGAGAGAAGTATCAAAAGCCTGTATACTCTCTGTATCTGATTCATAAATGGAATTCACCTGATT